GGTATATTAGGTCGTTTACCAAATAGTTGTATATATGTCTCTCTTGTCATATTAATTAAGGTCTGTGTACTTAAATCTGGTGGAGTGTTAGGTAGTTCTGTAAATGTTGGCTGATCTAGATCCACATTTTCCGCATCAGTTAATTGAATGCTGATTACAGCATACCTGGCTCCTGCACCCCAAGGGCCTTGTACAATTTCACATAGTACCATTTCTCCATGATGAAGATCTCTCTGTGCCTGGGCTACAAAAAGTTCATTAAATTATCGATATCTCAAGAATAATTGTCCCATGACAAAGAATTGTGTCTTCTCTTACGTGTAAGAGGTTACCTAGGTATTTTTGCTTAAAATAAGTAAAGCTAGTGCTTCCAGCCCCACGTTAGGGCGCCAATTGTAACAGTTCGTACTCCAATTTACCGCTATAACGTCTTATAACTTAGAATTTAGCAGGGCTAACCATACAGATATCTTAGCTAAATATTGTATAGTCGGTATAGAGTTTCTCTATTTAAAATACATAAATAATTGAGAATACAATAAAAATAGGAGTTGGAAGCAATAACTTTTGTCTTATTAATATAGTTTATTGAATAAATGAATAAAGATCCATTAATATATCATAAAGCAGAGTATATAAGATTAAATGAATAAATGCTTGCAATATAATTAGTATAACATACCCTCCTGATTATACAGGTAATCTCTCAGTATGTCACCTCCAGAGTCGGTCAGTATGTCTCTACCTAGCATTGATTATGCATGTATATATAGTATAGCATTTCTAATTACTACTGGTAATGTATGGGTTAATTCATCTTAGGGTTAAAAGCAGTTCAAAAATAAAAGAAAAACACCATTATCAGTCTAATGTCATAACCTAGACATCTTTAATCTGTATTTGGACTAGAAGTTAGGTTGACATACACCTTAGGGGTAAGAGAAGGTCAAATAAAAAAATAAGTCTAATGTCATAACCTAGACATCTTTAATCTGTATTTGGACTAGAAGTTAGGTTGACATAGGCAAAGCCTTGAATTGTTATTGCATTAAATTAAGACAAGATGGAGTAAACATGTTGTGTACTGTAAATAGGTAAAAGGTTATTAGTTAAAGAAACAGTTGCAGTTTAAAGAAATACAATGTAGCAATGTGTATTATACCCACAATTGCCCATCACAAAGGGTCAGACAGAGTTTGAGAATATGACAGGTATTAAGGGTTTAAACTGGTGTTCTAAGAGGGGGGGAGAACAAAACAGTCAAATTAAGTCCATAAAACAGGGGTTTTCTTCACACTGCTCCCCCATTGCTGACAGCTCCGGCAGACACAGTTGGACCCTTTTCGGGTCGACTTGGGGCTGTCCGGGTAATCCTTGCAAAATTCAGTTTGTCGGGATAGGCCATCCGCATTCCCATTCATTTTGCCAGGTCAGTAGTGGATGGTGAAGTCATATGGTTGTAATGCGAGGCTCCACCGTAGAAGTCGGGCATTATCCCCTGCAACCCTATTGAGCTAAACTGGTGTTCTAAGGGGGGGAGAACAAAACAGTCAAACTAAGTCCATAAAACAGGGGTTTTCTTCACAGCGATGTACTACAAAGTCAATAAGGTGACATAAATTGATGACTGGGCAGTAGTTCCCTGTCTTTTCATGACCACGAATATATTGTTGAAGAATGATGGAGGAGGTATTTGGTGTCTGGGACCTGTGTGCCAGAAGTGGCTGGTGTCGTGGCTTCTCTGCCGACCGGTCCTGTCAAAAACACCCCTGCCAGTGTTAGAGCAAAACACTTGCCTCAAAGATGACGGGGTTTCGTTGAGTGTGGTGAAGAGATTCACATGCTTTAAGTTCAGTGATAAAAGGCTCAGCAAATAATAAACCATTACCAATGGTCCTAGCTGTGGTGTATCACCAAATTAATATATATACTACACAAGGTTCGTCTACATTAAAAGGTATTTATTAAAAGGCAACAACACAATACTATAAATGTTTCACAAACACACAGCCCAGACCCACGGAGCAACAACCCTTTTTAAATCTATCTATCTATATAGTAACCCCTTCCACACACGCTTGATCTCACCCACGGTTAGGCCTTCACATCTAGTAATGGCTCACTGCTGCAAGTTCAACATCACATCCACCAAGGAAGAAAAGGAAGCAACAGACAGTAACATGGTTCACCATGCTAGCACATGGCGTCTGCACATCTGCTCTGCAGCACAGCCAAGAAGGAACAGAGAGGAATGGAGAAAGGGGAAGTGGTTATCTCTTTCCTGACTTGTAAAGGTATTGAATTACCAATTAACATTTCAAAAGGGTAAAGCTTATCCCACTGTAAGAAAAGCAAACATGAGCTTGGTCACATGACCCCTGGTCACCATATTAGTTTGATGACAGAATGTCACCACACTAGCTTGTTGTCAATTTTCAAAAGAGCGGTTTTATGTCGCTTAGTTCCAAGAG